CACACAGCTTGTTATCTTTTCACCAACAGTCGATTTTGGAATAAAAGCGTGAGGGGAAAATGTCTAAAATGCACCACATATCAATCTCGGCTATCAGTACACAGCCCCTATATATTAACCCTCTGCAACTGAACATTTCATATGATTTTCCTTTTTCTTTGAGCAGAAACCAGGTGAAGGAAATTAATTCTATTTACATGCCTGGCAAAATGCAGGACAGGAGCAGCTCTATAATGTGAGGACTTGGAAGCAGCACAAACTCTGGGAACAGAAACTCAGGAAATCACTGAGGCAAAGTCACAGCATTATCACAAATCCCAGCACTTGCCATCACCCAGGCCCTCATGTGTTTGAGTAATATCCGTATATCAGATTTCCTCTGATTTTTTGCTTGTTTTGGTTTTTTCAGGAACAAGAAGCTGCTCATGAGCCAGAATAAGTTACCAGGTTCCCCCACCTGTCTGCTGCCTCCATCCACATGTGAGAGCTCTCAAACACAGCCACAGGAGAAAAAGCCAAATAAACCCCCTCAGAGGCCCCATTTTCAGAAGGAGAGCAGGTAGATAACCTGGGTTCATTGCAAAGGTACCACCTCCCCACCCAGCTCAGGAAATGAGCTCTCTAACAAAGTTAAATCAGTGTCCCTGAAGAGTCAGGCATCTGGAGGGTGTGGAGACACGCTGCTCCCATGCCACACTAGTGATGGCTGCCGACCTTCCTGCCACTGTGCTCCCCGGAAAAAAACCCTGAGTCTGGGATTAAAATGGTGCCATTTGCAGCAGAGACAGTGTCAGCAGGAACTGCTGCACTTGCACTGGTTATCTGTTGCTGTGTAGATACCTGAGTTGCACAAAACTAGTATATGTATCCACATATCGTAGGATCACAGAATGGTTTGGGTTGGAAGGGCCCTTAAAGATCATGTAGTTCCAACCATACAGGGACACCTTCAGCAAGACCAGGTTACTCAAAGCCCTGTCCAAAATGGCCTATATACACAGGGAAATACATGTCTCTAGCAAAAAAAGTACCTTAGCACTCAGACACTCATTTTATTTTTGAAAAAGATGGCTTTGGAAGTTTTCACCCTATGATGAACCTACTTTTTGCTCTGCAGGTTAAATAACATCAGGTTTAGGACAGAAAGGGCAGGTGTTGCCTGTGCTTCCCAGTTGCAGGTTCAGCTCCTGTATTCAGAAACCTGATGCCTTCTGCTAAAAAGAATACCACCTCTTTGCAGCTTTGCATTTCAGGGTGTGAAAACAAAAAAAACCTGAACTGCAAACCACTTACTCACTCTGCAGCTTTAAGATCTCTATTATGAGTTCAGGGGGTTGCAGTACAGGTGGATGTTAATGCTTGAACTTTACTTGTATCATCCTGCAGTGCCCAATTCCTTGGGGCAGTGCTGGGGGGACCACAAAACTCCCAGGATATGGCTGAGCCAGCAGGGGCGGGAAAGTTATTTGCCATTGAAGTGCATGGCAGTAAAGGCAGCTGGAAGAAAAATTTCTTTAGAGCATTCAAAAGGTTTTAATATTTTGGTGTTTCACTGAGGTCAGGGGCTGTTTTCCCATGGCCAAGATATTTCTTTTACTCAGATTGATGGCCATTGTGATTCTGTCTGAGGTTTTCCCTCCATGTTGAAAAAGGCCAGAGAAACATAATCAAACTCTCCTGGCCTCACTGAGTACTTGGCGAGGAGTGGTTCCCATCACAGAATTCCATCACAGCGGGCATAGAAGAGAAAATTCCATCAGACCTTAAGGGAGCCTACAAGAAAGATGAAGAGAAACCTCACAAGGGCATGTAGTGACAGGGCAAGGGGGAATGGCTTCAAACTGAGAGTAGGCTTAGATCGGATATTAGGAAGTAATTATTTATTGGCAGGTGGTGAAGCACTGGAACAGGTTGCCCAAAGAAGTCATGGATGCCCCAATCCTGGAAGTGTTCAAGATCAGGTAGACTCTGAACAGCCTCATCTAGCAGCAGGTGACCCTGCCTATGGCAGGGGGTTGAAACTGTGGCACTCAGCTCACCATAGGAAGCCCGGGACATTTGGCTGTGATGTCAAAAAAGCCACGGCTGGAGGGAGAGGGAGTCTGTGAACTCCAAGGGTATCTCTGTTTCACCCACCAACCCAGGAAAATAAGTGTTGAATAAATGCAGCTTGTGTGGAGTGGCTGCCCCAGGTCCAGCTGACACAGTCAGGGTCAGCACTGCTGCCTCCCACCACTTCAGCCACACCAACTACTTATTAAAAATAGACTTTTTTCTTCTTGGAAAGGAAAAAAAAAAACAACCAAGAAACTTTTCTTTTAGGATGATGCAAACTTATGTTTTCTCAAACCTAAATGTATCCAAAAATACCTGCTTTAAACCCCAGTGCTGATTCCTGGGTAAATCACTGCATTCAGCTCTAGAGGCCACCCCCAAAGCACAAAAAATGTCACGTGGGTGGATAAGAAAAGCACACATTGATGTGGACACTTTTTATCCTTGCCTAACCCATCAGGCAAACTAGCCCCTTACAACTTTATTGCATAACCATCACGAAACTGGAGGCAGAAACATCTCCAGTGATGGCAGAGCCTGTGGCTAACCTTCCCAGCTGCTTTGCCTGCCTGGCTGACAGCAGAGAGCAGGAGCACCCCCTTACAGTGCTCACTCCCCTCTGGTAAACAGGCACATGCCACAAAAACCAAACACATGGACTGCTAAAAATGCCTTAAAATCCTTCAAGTGAGCATATCTTGGTCACACTCTCTCTGTCCATCCAAAACCTCACCCTGTGAAGCACTGCCCGTCATCAAGGCCGTCCAGATGTCAAGCAGAGTGGCCCAGCTTGCACAGGGATGACCAGAATTTAGTAGGGATAATCCAGTGCCACTAGTGTCCCCTGAAACCTGCCTGTCCTTGCAGACAAAATGCCAGGTTCTGGGCATATCTCTGCTTGGCGCCAGCACATACGAGCAGCTCCTTCCCTGCGGCCGGGCAGGTTTCCCCAGTGAAGGGCTGTTTCCTCACCCTGTAATGCCCGGGATGGATGGTTCCGTGGGAAGCTATCCTGGCAGGACCGGCAGGCAGCAGTCTGCTCTGGCACCGACTCCCCGGCCTTTGGGGAGCAGCCAGGCAGCGGGAGGCAAATTTTGGGCGTTGCTGGCAGGGACTGCAGCGCGTCCCTGGGAAGGCACGTGAAGGGGACCCACGTGCGGGGGAGCACAGCCGGCTGCCCCTCGGCACAGGGGGCAGTGAGGGTGCTGCGTGCCCTGTTTGCAAGGCACTCGCGCCTCCCGTTCAGATTAAACCCAAGTTAACCCCGTTTTTCTCTCCCTTTGCAGAGGGGAGAGAGTGAGCGGTCCCCTTCCCAGCTGTGCTAGGCTGCTGCTCACCCCAGCACCGCTCACACAAAGGTAAGGACGGACACAGGGTCATGCACAAACTGCAAGAAGCAGTTTAACCCCAATCCTGCAGCGTCTTGACCGTCCTGCTCACAGTCTGGGCTCACTGCAGAGCTGCGTGGCACCCCTCGATTTCCTGGAGGCATCCGGAAAAAACCTCCCAGTCCCCATTCCCACTCCCATCGTTGTCCCCACGCAAACACCACCTCTGATGGCCCCAGGGATGTGGCCCAGCCCTGTGGCAGAGCCAGAACCCAGAAGGTCCCCGCTGCCTGAGCAGCAGCACCGCTTGGTGGACACCAGAGGGTTCACAGCAGCGCCCTGCCCTACCCTGCCCCGCACCAAACACGTCACTACTACAACTTGAAACCGAACCTACGGCTGTCACCCAGCCCTTTTTGCGCTTCTGGGCTGCAGCCAAACCCATGCTTGCTGTCTTTCACCCCAGTGATGGGGAAGTCCATCAGCATTTTGGTACCCAAGACCCTGTCAGGCATCACCGTCACAGGATCCCCAACTACTCACATAACTGAGGCAAGGGGTCCAAAAAATAAGAGGCAAGTCGTGACTGAGGTATTCACTGTGAAGTGGGGATCAGTGGGGTGGAGGAGGGAGGGTCAGGAAAGAGACTCCCAGGGCAGCAACGTGGGGAAGCTGCAATTTTCAGAGCTGACCTCATACAGAAGAAAAAAAGGTTACACAGGGTGAAAATGAAAACATAATTTCCACTAAAACCAGGAGCTGTTCAGCTCCCAGCCTTCGTAGTGGTGGAAAGAGGCTACAAATTGTGTGGTTCTGCCATAAGTAGTAAAAAAATGATTTCATTTCATTACTAGTTCTTGAATTCTGTATTACAATGCCCAGCAGTGACACCCTGGAGCCTGGGCAGCTCAAGGGCATCTATCCGCTCACACTGGCCCTTTGGGGACTGTCCTCTGCAGAGCCACAACTCCATGCTGTAAAACTGCACAGCTACACAACAGCCCATGGCTTCACCTGTCAGCTTTGATACCCACGTTGCACAACTCATCACACACGTGAACAAGGAAGAAGGGCCTGAGTGGGATTTTAAATAAAGAATGTATTGTTTACTTGCTTGCTGGTAGGAGAAAAAATAATAAAAGGTATGTGATAACACCTTTTCCCTGCTTACCTGCGTTTTCTGCTGCTAAGGGGACCTGGTACCAGGGGCCACCCTGGGGACCCAGAGCTGGTGGTCCAGGAGAGCCCTCGTGCTCTGGAACATCTCCTTCCCAGCACCTCAGGAAGAGCAGCACAACCCTTGCTCACATTGCAGCAGTGATGGCCATAATATAGCAAAGCTCCAGGCCCAGCTCATTGCGGTCATTGGCCAGATTTTCCACTCCACTACACGGTCACCTAGAGGCAGGGGTGGCCTTTGGGGTACCTGGAAATGGCAGGCGTGGGAACACCTTCAGCCTCTGCTTTCCCCCTCACCCCAGCATGCTGTGGCTCCCCATGCAAACAGCCTCCCCTTTGCTCCCCGCTCCCTCTAGTCTGTCTAGGGATCTCGCAGCACAAGTCCCCTGGGAGAGAAGAACAGCAACACCTCAAACCACACTACTGTGGAGTTTGGTGGTTTTAATGGTAATTAAAGAAATCAACAGGGTACATTTCGGCTTTGAAATACAAGTGTAAAAAGGGTACAATATAATGTTTTCTGTACATTTCTTACAAAATATTACATACATCCCCTCCTGAAGTGGTACTTCACACCCTGCTGCACCCATGAGCCACATATGCCCACCAGCTGTAACTTTTCCTTTTTATGTGCAGGACATGGAACTAACAGAAAGCTCCAGCTGGAGTCTTGGCAGAGGTTTTTAGGGCCATGGTAGGTAAATATAAGGGGTGAACACAGGGACCTTTCTACCCAGTATGCCCAGGAGTGCCAAGCCACCACTGTGCCCTTGGGACAGGTGGGCAGCATCACCCTGCTGGCATTCACAGCTGTTCAGAAAATGCCATTTCTTGCTGTGGTTTGGCGTTTTCCCTGTGTCTGGCATCACCTACCTCTTCACACCCCGTGCAGTGTGCCCGGGTCTAGCCCTGGCAAACCCGACTCCATTTTAACCACAGCATCTTCTTGAGAAGAAGTCAACCAGGCTATATGGCAAATAAATTAAACCCCTCCTCCCCCTAAACCCTCCGCACTGATGAGGCTGTGGGCCACATATCAGTACCCATCCTGGCAGTCATTGTCATCGTAGTCAGCAGCAGGTTTGTGGCGGAGAGCACCCAGCCGCCGCTTGCGAAGCCCGCTCTCCAGGCTCTGCAGCGAGCTGTCATCCTCATGGCTGCTGGACTCGCGGGTGGCATCCTCCTGGGAGTGGCTCTCCTCATTGCCATCCTCCTCCTGGGACTCACTGTTGTCGCTCTCTGGGGACCTGCTGTCCTCACCTGTGTTGTCCTCTGGGCTGCTGTCATCCTCTGGGGATGCGCTCTGGCTCTCACCTGATGTGCTTGGCACAGAGTCGGAGTCATTCTCGTCCTCCTGTGACTCCTCCACAGTGTCCTCTGTGGACTGGCTCTGGTCCTCATCATCTTCCCTGGACTTGCTCTGGTCACCCTCTTCTTCCTCAGACTCGCTGTCAGGCATGGATGGCACACTCCTGTCCTCAGCAGACTCCCAGTCCTCCTGCCCTTCCCAAGTCTGGCTGTTGCTGTGCTCATTCAATGTGCTCACTACATCTGGGAACTCCTGTAGTTCTTCATCTGACTGGTCATCAGTGCCCTCACTGGACCTGCTGTCCTCATCCTCCCTGGAGGGGCTGTCCTCCTCATCCCCATCCTCTCTGGAGCGGCTGGGGCTTTTTTCCTCTGATTCACTGTCAACAGGCTCTTCTGACTGACTGTTGTCCTCCACGGATGGGCTGTCTTCGTCGGAGTCAGCATCCTCCACCTCTGGGGACCTACTATCACCCTCCTCCCAGTGGTGGGAGCCAGCCCCCTGGATGCTCTCTCGGCTGTTCCCCAGGGCACGGCGGCCAGCACGGTGCACCCTGTAGCTGCTGCCCCAGCTGTCGAAGGCAGAGGGGTCGTCACCCTGCATGGCTTCATCCTCGAAGTCATAGCTCTCCTCCTCCTGGCTGCTGCTGCTGGCCCCTCTCTGCCTGTAGCTCCGCTCATACCAGCTGCCCATGTAGTTCCTGTACCGCCGGTGCTCTACCCCAGTGCTCTCACTGCTGCTGCTGCTGCTGCTGTCGCCGTGCCCTCTGCCAGCCCCGGCATCCCCACGACCAGCATCACGGTCAGGTTCACCCACCCCATCGGCACCAGCCACGTAAGTAGGACCTTCTCCCCTCTCCTCTTCCCCATTCCCATCGAAGGTGTCATCCCCACTGTCATCCTCCTCATCCAGGAACCCGCCAGCGTGGGAGGGAAGCCCGTTGGCTCCAGTGCCATAGTGGTCTCCGTTGTCACCATCATCAGCATCACGTGCATCCCCCTCCTGCGGAGGTGACAAACAGAGATGAATGCCAAGGCTTGCAGGTCGCAGGCACTATCAGCACTGCTCACCACACAGGCCAAGCTCAGCCTTGACCAACGCCAGATTTGAGGCCAAGGGAGCTTTCCTGGCAGAGTAGAATGTGCCTCTACACTCACTCACCAGGAAACCAAGGTCATTCCCATTGTGGGCACTTGCATCCTCGTGGTCCACCTGATTCATGTGCTCAGCCTGCCCAACTCGGTCTCCCTTGTCTTGGCCACTGTGCTCACCGAGCTCTTCATCCACAGCGTTCCCACCCATCAGGTCCCCGGCAAGGGCATTGTCCCCCCTCTCCACACCAACAGGAGGATGTCTGCCATCTCCACCATCTAGGAGGTTGCCCAGCTTGTTGACGTGCTCTTCGTTTGCTGTGTCCTGGAGGCAAAATGTGACGTGATGCTTTGGTTTATTAAACACCAACTACAGCACATTTTTACTGCTGCTGCAGGACATCATTCCTAAGCCATGCAAGTGCTCAAGCCTTTTACATTGCTTGCACCTCAGCCCTTCAGGTATTTCTGCTGATACAAAAAAAACCCAATAGCCACCAACAAAAGGACAACTCAGAAAAGTCCAAACTGGGACAGTTCAGAGCACAGAAACTCCTTTTTCAGGGCCAACACAGCAGAAGACATCAGGTAAACTGGGAACATGCTCAGAGAGGCAAGTCAAAATGAGGTGAAACCAACCTAGCTGAAAAGACCAAGTAGATGGGCAAAGCTCAAAGATCTGCAGAAGCAGCAGCTCCCCTCCCAGGTCCCTGGTCCAAGGATGCCTGCCCAGGGCTGGCTCCCCATCCTAGACTTGCTCCATGAGTGGCTGCTCCCTGTGGGACTGGGGCACCCCTGGCTTACCTCCTGGTGGGCGCTGGGACGGGTGGACTCATGGCCAGGCACCTAAACACATCCAGGAGACATCTGATCAGTGATCAGTGCACCGTGGCTGGGCCAAACTGGGGTTTGGGTGTGAGTATCAGTCCAGTGTGTACTTACGGGGTGAGCGCTGGCCATGGCCCAGAGGAGCAGCACCAGGAATGCAGCCACCCTCATGTCACCTGTGGTCCCTGTGGCTGCAACAAGGAATAAAGTATTTGCACACTATAGCAAAGCATTTGCCCATGCCTCTGGCTGTAACTTGTCCCCACAAAGCCCTTCCAGCTGATACAGCCTTGTCACCCTGGCACATGGTGCTCAGCCTGACATGCCATCAAACAAGCCAAGGATTAGTCCTTGTGCCACCTCCTGGCATCTCCTCTGCAGAAACCTCCCTGTAGTTTGGGATTTGAAATATTTGGCCATGTTCTGGCAGATTTTTTTGTCTAAGCATCATGAAAGAGCAGGAAAGCTCTCCTGAATGTCCTGTTCCCCCAGTAATGTCCACCCATCACCCAGCTGAGCTCAGTGGCTGTGACAGGAGCCAACACCACAGATGGGCAGCACCATAAGTTTGTGGGCTGCAGAGCTGCACTTCCCACCTGGAATGGTCCCCACAACCCTGTAAAATCTCCCACCACCCCAAAGTGGAGGATCGTGGTAAGGTAAGCCCATGGAGAACTGTATCCCCAGAGGCTGCTGGGTCAGCATTCCAGCAGCACTGCTGCCAGGCAGGCAGGTAAGGCAGTGGGGGCTTTCCTCCAGCTCTGCTCTCATTTTCCAAGTCCATTAAGCAGCCCAGCACCACATCCCCATGGGCCACACTAGTTACACTGTGCATCACCCTGCATCCAAAACTCAGGCACGCTCCTGATTTCTTCCCTTACAAACCAACTCCTACATCTCAGTTTACCAGCCTTGTGCTTTCTACCAAAACTTGTGAGGAAATCTACAACCCCTGTTCCCAAACATTGCCGTTTTTGCTCCAGGCATTTTTGCCAGATCAAGCCAAAGAACCCAAAACTTTTACCTTAAGGTGTAGTGCAAGCCCACGTCTCCTCTGGTGCTGGGGATGGGATGAGCCAGCTGTCTGTGCTGGGATGCTCCGGGCTGTGTGCCCCAGCGTGGTCATGCAGGCATTTAACCGCTGGCCAGTGTCAGCCCCGGGCAGGGGGCAGCCAATGGCACCAGCGGGCAGTGCTGCCACGCGTGGAGATGTCACCGGGAACTGGCCTCCCACGCTTCCTCTGGCCTCCGCCAGGACGTCGGCCCTAAAAAAGCTCCTTGTGGTTGCAGGATGACGAGATGGGCTGGCAGTTAATGACTGACTGCACTGACCCTGTGTTTTGACTGCTAAATTTATTCCATTCACACACTTCCCGCCATGACACACACAAACAACTACGGCGTCACCCACGCTAAGCACTGGACCCTGTCCCAGAGATGGCATCCTCCTAACCTGTGCACTTGGGAATGCTGTTTGCCCTGTGTCACAGGCCAGGGTGCTGAAACCCACAGAGGACAATTCCCCTGCCAGGTCTCAGCCTTCTCCTGTACGTTGGGGCAGGAGCACAAAACCATGCTGGAAGGAAAGGACTTTGTCTATTTTCATGCCCACACAGGCAAGAGAGAAGGGAAATACTAAGTGGAGGTGGGTACAGAGCATCTCATCCCCTGCAAGGAGGGAGTGTAACACCCCAGCTCTCCTTCCAGCTACTGGACAGAGGGGAGATGAAACCTCTGCTCTGGAAAACACAGGCAACAACATATGCACATGTGTATGGGCATCTACAGGCAATTCTTTATATATGAACACATATACACACACTACATGTACCCCAGGGATTCTTGGTGATAGCATGGACCACCTACTCCAAACAGCACCGTGAGGCAGCAGCACAGATGGACCCTCTTCACTTCCAGGTACTACAAGAGGGACTTTGCAAACCTCCGCAGGTGACAGCGCGACCACAGCTCTCTGCCCGTGTGAGTAGGACAGGACCAGTATGCCCCAGCCATATGCCTGGCTTTTCCTTCTGCCCCAGCACAGGCAGAAGGAAGGCAGCTTCCTTCCCTGTATTTGGCCATTGCTAAATCTTGTGTGCCCACAATACCCCCCTCTGCTGCATGTGCAAGCAGGTTGCTTTGAAACAGGCGATGCATCTCTGCTCTGCCAGCTGGGCTTTCCCCACAGTCACCTGCAATGGCCCCTTGGTGCAGGGTCCCAAATTCCCAGAGGTGGGTGTAGTGCCCAGGGAACATGGGCACACTGCAGGTTTACAGGGATTCACAGTGATTGAAGGAAACTTGAGCAATAATGATTGAGTCAGGGCTCTGTAAACAGCAGGTTATCTGAATTTGCCTGGGATGTACCATCTGTAGACAACAGCATCCAGAAAGCATGCCTTGTGCTGTGACACGACTGTGGCTGGACAGAGCACCTTGTGAAACCAGATTTGTCAGTCTGCTGTTGTGGGTGCTGGCTTAATTTCATTCTCCAAAATCTCCTGCCTTCTCCCCCCATCATCACCAGCCAGAAGACCATGTGTGTCTGCCCTGTGAGGACTGCAAGGTGCCATGTGTGATGAGCATCTTCCTCCTGTCCCCTAAACAAGGAGGTCCCACTGCTTTCCCCATGGCCCCTCAGTCTCGAGGTGGTCACCACTGAGCCGCTTACTCTCACTCTCACTCACACCTTTGGCAGATGTTTTCCCTCTTCTTCCCTACCTGACCCCTGCCGCAGCTACTGTGGGATGTATTTTCCTTTTGACCTGGGACAAAATTATACCCCTGTCCCCAGCCAGATATGAGTTCATGTTGCCAACCTTTTTTAGGTACCTCCAACAATTACCATGTTTTGTTGTATTTTTTTTGTAACTTCAAACCTGCATTTAACTCAACCCCCAAAGACCTGGTGCTGCCTCACATCCAGGTGCTGTGGTGGAAGAAGGAGATAAACACCAAGCTGTGCATACCCAGCTCTTTTATGACACAGGTCACCCACTGCCCCATCGGCCACCACTCCAAGGTCACCTCCCTCCCCTCCTTGAAACACCCACAGCACCAGCACACCCAACAGTGCTCACTGTCAGCATCCCAGTCTGGCCCCAGGTCCCTGTGATCTCCAATAGCCCTGGCTCAAAACATCGAGGTCTGTCTCCCAAATCCCTTCCAGAGATCATCCCTCACCATCAGCTAGACCAGCCAAGCAGATCTGCCTGTGTTTTGCAAGGAGAGGAAACCCCAACCCACATATTGTAACCTGCCAATTAACCTTAAAAAAAAACCCAAACAAAAAATCCCAATAATATTAAGGATTATTGTTACATCAGAGGTGAGAAATGGACTGAGAGTGGGGGAAACAGCTGTCTGATGGGTGTTTAAAATGTCACCGGGCGTTTCCCCAAGTCCTACTCTCCTGAGACAGTAGGTCCCTTGAGATGGTCGTGATGGAAAGCAGTGGGGCAAGGAAGATATGGGAAACTTGGCCAGGCTAAAGCTGGCACCGTCAGGCTACCAGGGATAAGGTGGCTGAGACAGAGGGGACTGGCAGAGAGGGTAAAAAGATGCAGGAATATCACTTCTCTGTTTGAAAAGCTGGGCTGTGCAGCATTCATGAGGACAGAGAAAAGAAATTAGTGCAGACAGCAGCAGGGATTAGAGATGCCAAAGCCAAGAGAGAAGTTGGCACAGCAGAGAGACAGCTGACAGAGGAGGCACATAACAGCTGCTCTCCTCCGCTGACTGAGACATCTCAGCATTAAAAACAAGAATTATTATTGTTCAAAAAAAGCACCATTCCCTCTATTTTTTCCAGTCCAGGGTATTTTCACAGTACTGATGTTGCTGGTGCACTTCTCTCCTGAATAGACCTATGGGCTTTGACAGTAGCATCAAAAGGAAAAGAATCAATGAATGAACTGGAGCAGAAGAGACCAGGACAAGAGCAGGACTCAAGCCTGCTGACACATCCTTAGCCCTCTCCCAAACACTCGACACCAGCTCCTACCTTATGGTCAGACCCAAACCCAAATCCCTTTGCCAAGCGCTTTCTGGTGACAAAGGCTACAATGCAGTGCTGAGGTTTCCATTGGGAGCAGGTGGGAAAAACCTGCCTCCTAAATATTCATTTGCCCCATAAGTGCACCAGGAATCATCTAGTGCACAATCCTAAGGGATTCATTCCCATAGTGCTTCTCTAAATAGGGGTGTTCAGCCTTGCAAACCAGCCAGGTTCCCAGCCTGCTGTGCAGGTGGGCAGAGCACAGCTGGTGGCTGTGTGTGCAAGGGGGGAGAAGCAGCCTGGCTTTGGCTCCTCTGCACTCAAGGGATCTGGACAAAGGCATCACACCTGTTACCTGAAGCCTGAGTAAATATGGTCTACGTTTCACAGCATTAACGCGACACATAGCAGTGTAGCTAATGATAACATTTTAGGTGTTAGAAGAACAGCACTGATATTCCAACTCCCCCTGGAAGCAAGCCTTGAAGCTACAAATGCTGTGATAAGCAGCAGATGGAAGTTACCAGCATGGTTGTCACAGTGCAGAGGCGTGCACAAGCTTGGTTTATGCTAGGCCTTTAAAATTTGCTGTTTCTCTGCACTGGAAAAAAGATATCATAGGTGCCTGAGTCCTGGAGCCCTGAATTACAGACGCTCACAGGACCCACCCTAATGCTACACCTCTGCACAAGACCAGCATCCCTCTGCCCTGGCCTTCTGACAGCACAGAGGTAGGATTGTTAACCCACCCTTTGTGTCTACCATGGAGTTTACTTTACAGCCAGAGAAAACAAGCACTTTTAAGGCAACAATCATTTGCCCTATTTCAGACACCTATTTCAGAAGAAAATGCCTCACAGACTGTTTGAAGTCTCTGTGACGCTGTCGAAGGAAGGTGACCAGCATGCTGATCTTGTCCTACCAACAAGATACACCATTCCCTCTCCCGAAACACATGCAGAGAGCTCCTGAACCCCCTCTCTCCCATGCCAGTCCCACACTCCCTTAACTTCTGTTTCTAGCATTTTTATATCACCCTCCTCTGAGCAATGGGCTCCAGCAAAACCAGCACCTCATCTTGACAGTCTGTCAGGATGAAGGCTCACTGGTGTTGTACCTGTTCTGTGCTACTTGGAAGTTTGTGCTGCTTCTTGTTGCTGAGGCGAAATGCAAGGAGCAATAATTGCTATTCACATTGTGTCTGCTGCTGCTGGAACTCGTGGCTGGACAAGTACCTTGGGCCATCTCTGCCAGATGTGTGTGACCAGATTGTCAGGTCCTATAGATCCATATTCATCAGTCACCTTGGTTGAATTCACTAATTCGAGGCTGTGACTTCATCAGCTGTTAACAGAGTGCCACTGTCAGATCTAGCATGTCTTCCTGCACACAGGGACTGCTGCAGCTTGCTGCCCTTGGTCAGAATAAGAGCAGGGACAGAAACCTGGCTCTGCCTCACATCGGGGACCAGTTTTGGCACTGCTGGTACCAGTACCAGGCAACTCCAGTGCCACTGGGCTGTCAAAAGCTCAGCAGTGACAGCAGTAATCATAGAGAAAGCAACAGGTAGTTACAGCTCCTACAATCTCATTCAGAGTACGATATCTTTTACAATCACTCCCTGCTCAGAATTGAATCCCTTGGGAGGTAGGAGCAATAAGTATTTGTTAGTAACAAGCTGGAAATGGAACAATAACAGATCCTTAATGTATGAATCTCTCTCCAGTCACCTCTCTGTGCTCACCCCCGCTCCAACTGGAACTGCAGAGATCTGTGCCAGACACCCTCAAAGCAGCGTGATGTCAGTGCTCTCAGGAAGGAAAATACAGCAATAAGCTGGGGCCAGCTTTGCCCTCACATCAGCTGGCAGCCTGGGGTGACCTGCTCCAAGCTGCAGGTTGGACATACGGGCAGCTGCACTGTGTGTGCCCGTCAGATGTGTGTATGTCTAGTGAGTCACAGTACCCTGATTTCTTTCCTTTTCAGAAGGAAATGACTGATGGAATGGATTGTATGAAACAGCCACTGCACAAGTGCAAATGGGTAATGCGGAGGCATGGGCTGCCCAGAGTGGGCAGAGAGGTCAGGACAGGGTTGGTAGCCCGAGGGATTAAGACATCTGTATGGAGTGCCAGACCCTCCTCCTGGAGAGCAGTCAGCACTCCTCTGGTTCCTGTACTGTCATTACGGCTCACTTGGTC